CGGGGTGGTGGTGGTGGGGCTCCAGATCACCAGACCCGTGAACCTCTCCAAATGCTCCTTCTGCCCCAAACCTCCACTCCCAAGACATTCTCGCAATGGGTGTGGTGGTGTACACATGTGCTCTCAGCACTGGGGAGGCTGAGTCAGGAAGACCGCAAGTGTGGGCCCCTCCTGGGCAACTTGGTGAGCGGGCTGGGAATGTAGCTCAGTGTGAAGGCCCCAGGCTCAATCCCCAGTACCAGCACAGCAAGAAGCCAAAATACAAAACACACAAATCTAACACTGGTCATACTTTTTGCCTCAAGGCATAGTTCTCAGAATATTTCCCAACCCAAACACTCTCAGCGGACGTCCGTGATCGAGCGACTCACTGGGTGTAAACATCTCAACACCGTGCTCCGGATATCACACACCTCTGTGGGCTGTCACCTCCCCGTCACCTGCTGTTAGTCCCCGCTGCAGACGTGCCTGGAAGGGACCCTTCAGAAAACCCACCGTGCCTGGATCCCCGGGGGCCCGGGTCCTCTTCTTCTGTCGCCCACGGTCCATTACCCTCCGTCATTCCCATGTAAGCCGTACTAGGCCTTACTAGGTCAGATCGGTTATCATTTTGCAAACTTCTGATATTCTCCTCCCAGTTTTACACCTGTATCACGCTTGGTGGGGACTCTTTTCTATCGCTCGCTCTATAATCTTTGCATTACAATCATGAATGTGAATGTCACATTACCTGAGCGAACTATGATCTCCTTGGGGTCTTTTTCACTGGCAGCCGCACAGGGTGAATGCCCAGTGGGCTGATAACAAATATCTGTGGAGTTGAGTCTAATGGAAATAATTTTTAATACATTGGTGCCCCTTGGCATTGCCACCCTACCTACTGCAAATCCCCACCACCTTTGCCACTACACGCATACACACACACCCTAGATTATTGTGCCAGCTCCTGAGATCGTCTTCAGACAGTGTCTCCCAGCTGTGCTCAATCTTTCCTGGATTTTCAGGAGCTCCCTGCCCCCAGGCGACAGCACAGGGGACCTTCTCTGCCGCTTGGTCTTTCCCTCTTGGGAATGTCGCTCTGCGCCTGCGGGTGACAACCACTCACCCTAGCATGCTTATGGGCCAGCTGCTTACTGAGGGTGCCTTATTCTACACTAAGGAAGTAAGAAAGCGCAGCCCAACACCTGAGGCTCCTGCTCTGAGGACGAGATCTGGGGGATTTTATAAGTCTGCTTTTCTGATGCAGTTAACCCATCATTTCAAAAAGCAAATGGCCTTGCTATAAAATTTGATGATTTTTGTCCCCCAAATCTTGCAGTGGACAATTTTTATAGCCTTAGAAGGTTATAGCTAGCTGGGCGTGGTGGTGCACGCCTGTAATCCCAGCCTTTGGGAGGCTGAGACAGGAAGATCGAGCCAAATTCAAAGCCAGCATGGGATACTCAGTGAGTTCAAGGCCAGCCTGCGCTGTAAAGTGAGACCCTGTCTCAAAAAAACAAAACCAAAGAAAGGCCTAAGCCTAAGCAAAAATATGTCTTCTTTTCCTTTTTTTTTTTTTTTTTTTTTTTTCTGTACCAGGAATCAAATTCAGGACCTTGCGCTTGCCAGGCAGGCGCGGTGGCCCTGAGCTACATCCCCGGCCCGCCATTTCGTCTTTTCCTAAGGAACCGTTTCTTCTTCTGGCTTCTCCATGCCAGTTCTACACACAAGCCTCTTTCTCTTCCCCTCTGACCTGCCCAGCGGGCGTCATTCCTTCTTGAAATGCTTCTGGACGAAGCTGTGAGAGACAGAAGTGACCTGGGTGCCCCTTTAGCGCGAGGTTTCCGGAAGATAGATGGGTGGAGGTGGTACCTTCACCGCCTTTGTCCTGGAGCCCTGCTACTTCCTCGGTGCTCCTCTCCCGCAGTCGTTCTCATCCAGATCACAAGGCTTAGAACCCAACTGTGGGGTAAAAAACCCAGCAGATAAAACTTCAGTCTTTCTGAGTAAGCCGGACAGACTTAGTCACCCCAGTGGATTTGGCCAGGCTGCAGGTCAGCCAGTCTCTTCTGGATGTTTCCTGTTTCATCTCCTCTGTAGCCCTCGCCCTCCTTACCCCAACCCTTAAGCCGTTCTGTCTTAATCCAGGACGCAGCTCCTTCCAGCTCTGGGGGCTGCACAGGAGGGTCCTCTGGTCCACATGGAAACTGCCTTCCCACGACCCCACAGGCCTCACGGGCTGCCGGGTCGTCTTTGGGAATAGCCTCGTTGCTTCTCTCCCAGGACATCCCTCAGCCAGGACCAAGCACGAGCCACACCCTTCGCTGACTCCTTAATTAATCTCCGGTCTGTCAGGCAACCCCTTTCCGACTTCCCTGGCAACTAATCTAATCCAATTGTCCTGTAAGAAATCCTTTCCTTTACCCTGAATCTAGCATCATCACAGCGTTTAAACCCAAAGGGAGCCACAGAGAGCATCTAGTTTGAATTCTGATGTGGTACAGATTTGGAAATTGCAATCCGGAGAGATCCAAGGGCTAGTGGATTGTCTTGCTGTGGAAAATGAGTTTCTAGGCTGACTGCTTGTTTATTATAAATCTTAAAATAAGCATTTCCATTCACAAAATCCCGTATTTTTCTATTCATTTACTCCACACAGATCACCCGAGGGGGATTTTAGAGGCTCAATACCGTAACAATTTTCACCTCCTTAGCTCCTCCCATTATGACCCAGGTTGTCACTAAAACCTTCCAGTGTCCACTGGGGAACATCACCCTACTCAATATGCGTCAGTGCACTTTTTTGGGCCTACTGTGATGCCATCGCATCTCATGTGACGCCCCATACCTCGGGGGCCCCGTGGAGTTTTCACACACTGGAGTGCTAGTGATGATTTGCACGCCTCCCCCCGCCACGTGCATGGTTGGAATATTTTTCCCCTTTCCCACTGATCAATTACTGAGCAATATATGATCCGTGATGCCTCTCAGAAAAGAGTCTCAGCCTGGGTATTGGCAGGACCAGAGATATCTAAGGTGAACGGTTCTCCTGTTTTGCCGAGACCTTACCCAGAAGTTTTAGGCAAAATTGATGCTCTAAGAATTCCTCAGTCCTGAGCAGACCAGGGTACTCGGTCACCTTCAGCATCCCGAACCCCATTCAGGTGCAAGTAAAGAATGAGGGCCCTGAATATTTCCGTTCTGTGAAGCCGCACTATCAGCCAGCTGGGAAAGATGCTCACGGAAACCAGTCCGTTCAGACGGCTGCAGCTGCCGAACGGGAGAGCCCACAACCCAGCAGCCAGGCCAGGCTGACCCGAGCCGGCCAGCTGGGTCCAGGCTGCACACGTTAATTCCCCGGGTGTTTGCCGGCTGGGTGGAGAATTTAAGGGTGGCCTCTAAAAGGAGGCTGGGTAAATAGTAAAGTTAATGAGTGGAGAATCAAATGCAAACTGTGTCTTCCATGAACTGTAAACACAGGACACACCTTGTAGACAAATGTGTTCCAGCTTTAATTTCTAGGAAAGCTGAAGAAACATCTGCTTTTTTGGGAATTTATTCAAGCACTCTGGCCCAACAGTCTAAAGTCAAGCAAATTAGAGGCCCTCTGGGAAAGAAGTTGGTTGACCAGTGCATTAGATAACTGAAAACAAGTCCAGGATTTAATAGGGCTACTAAAATTAGAGGTTGGAGGAAGTCTCTGCCCTTTTTTTATTTTTCTTTTTTCTTATTTGGTACCCGGAGCTGAACCCAGGGCCTCCACCCGGAGCTGCTGCGTCTTTAATGCTTTCTCTTTTTTTTTTTTGCAACAAAGTTTCACTAAATTGTTAAGTTGCCCAGGCTGGGATCAAACTTGCGATCCCCCTGCCTCAGCCTCCCAAAGTACTGGGAGTATTGGCATGGGCTACCTCCTAACTCCCCATCTCTATTTTAAGTTTGCTTTGTTCCCATTTATTTGAAAATTTCCACAGGCTAAAGACGTGGGATCCCCAAGATACAGATCTCTGGCAGCAGGTGCCTTGTAAAATACTGTCCCGGGGGCTGGGAGTGTAGCCCAGAGGCAGAGAGGCCCTGGGTTCGTGCCCCAGCGCAGCCACCACCACCACAACAAAAAGATGGGCTTGGAGGTAGCTGATGTGGGAAGAGAACCCAGAAGAATACCCGGATGGGGATACCTCGCGTACTGTCCTCGTGAGTTTGTGATCCCTTCTCAGAGAACACATGTGCAAGCAGACAAAGTGGTTGTAAAAGACAGTTGCCTGTGCTCGTCCTTAAAATTGAGCGGAACATAGCACACATAAAAGTTTGCATTGTGGTTTCTTGTTTTCGTCGCTGTTCCCGGGAAGGAATGAGCAGAGCGGGCGTGGGGGCGGGTGGAGTGATCCAGGAGCAGACACACAGGCTTTCTGGACACCTCTGGGGAGCCTTTCTACTGCTTACCGAGAAAGCCGCACACCTTTCAGGGCTGCACAGAAAGGCACAGCCGGACCTAACCCCCCTGGCCCAGCCCGAGAGGTCTCCGCCCGGCGGTGCAGCTGTCAGCTGTGGTCTTGGGCAGTGCTCTGCAGGGGGCTCCGGGGGATCCCGTGCCTCTGATAACACAGGCGCAAGGGGCAGAGCCGGGAATGAGTGAAGCTCTTCAGGGCTGGGGTCGGGGCGGTGAGAATAATGCTGTCCACGGTGGGGGCTCTAGGGGGCGCTGTCCTGTGCACAGCTGCTGCGAATCACCAGACCTACCTAGGAATGTGCCCGGGTGCTCAGGTCCTGTGTGAGCTGAGTGTAGCAACAGGGGAGGGAGGGACAGAGATCGTAAGATCTGCGCGGTATTAGTGCGATGCATCGGTCTAAGCTCTTGTCATGTGCTTGCCTGTTCTTCCCCTTCTCCTGCTCCTTTGTGGTGGAAATGAACCCAAGGCCTGGCGCGTGCTAGGCAAGTGCTCTACCGCTGAGCCACCGCCAGCGCTACCACTGCCTACTTAAGTAACTCTGAGGTCAGCGTTCCTAATGTCTCCCTTTTACAGAACAAGACAGGAAACCAAGATATACAGAGCACTCTGCAGCCTTCATGGCCGTGGCATCTGACTCTGCCCCAGCACGGCGGGGCCTGACCTAGAGAGGCTTGTCCACTCCTGAGACCCTTGTCTCCTCCAGCCCAAACCGGGGGTCAGGAGGCACCAGGGCCAGGTCTGTGCAGCGGCTTTCGCTCAGCATCCCCCATGCTCCACGTGGCGCTGAGAGGCAGCTGCTGTTGTCTCCACATCCCAGAAAAGGAAACTGAGGAAAGAGAGTGCAAGTTCCTGGCCCAAGCTCTCTACAAATCCAGCACTTCACTTGCCAACCCAGGCATGGCATGGGAAGGGGCATCGTCGTGAGGGCCTACATGGGTGACCTGACTGTTTTCCAGGGGATCCCACTTCCAGCAGGCTTGACGAGGGATTGCGACAACACTGAGGTTGCAAAAAGTAGCCCTGTGGTTCAGCGCTGGAGCAGAGCTGGCCGCCTGTGGATGCACTGCCCTTAAGAACAAAATGAAAGGAAGCCTTCCGCTCGCTTAACTCATTAAGTGCTCTGATAATTTCTAACAGCTTAAATAATTTTTTTTCATCCCCATTTTGAGTATGGATACAATCTGATTTTCCAGGCTCATCTTATACCATGATCTCTCAGTGATCCCTTGATTCCTATAACTTTCAACCATTACCCATGATTTCCAAAATACTCCACGTGCTGTCAGATCTTAATCTGACATAAATATCCTTTATTTTGCTGTTTTTGTAATCAGCAGTGTCAAGTAGACTTTGGTTTGTGTACTGGATTCAACACTGAATGTATTTCAGAATGGGAAATTCTTCTTGCTAATCCCTTAATGAACATTATAGTCTACATTAAAATTACTCGGGAAAATTTCCAGTTGTATATTTACATACAATCAACTGCAGATATCACCGTAAGAATGACTTCAGAATTTTCAGGTTTACACATGGCACAATTTATATTTCCAACTAGTGTGGTACTACATTTTGTCTTTAAATGATAATTTGGTATAAACTATGATACCATAATGATTTAAAACACAAAGAAGCAGAATTCAAATGACTTCACTTTTTTATTCTATGTTAACACTTGACTTTATATTTAATAAATTATTCTTTTAGAGCCAGGCATGGTGGCGCATACCTGTAATCCCAGCACTTGGGAGGCTGAGGCAGGAGGATTGCTGCAAGTTCAAGACCAGCCTGGGCTACAAAGTGAGCTCAAGGCCAGCCTGAACTGCATAGCGAGACCCTGGCTCAAAAAGACAGAAAAACAATATTATTTTTTTAGCTATTGCAAAATAAATCAAAGGAAGCTGACTTCATGAATGAAGAGCTGCATGAGGTTCAGATCTCTGTGTCCCTAAGAGAAGTCATGTGAGGACACAGCCTCTGATTGCTATGGCCATGTTTATGCTACAATAGTACAAGTAGTTGTGACAGAGACCGAATAAATGGACCATAGTCCTAAGATACTTACTACCTGGCCCGTTCCAGAACAAGTGCTGACAGCTGAGATACATGCATGTGGTAAACATATTTGCCTCACTTTTTTGAGTTTTTTGTTTGTTTGGGTTTTGTCCTTTTGAGACAGGTTTTCACTGCACAATTCATGCTGGCCTTGAACTCACAGGGATCCTCCTGCCTCAGCTGCCTGTCTGAGTGCTGGGATTACAGGGGTGTTCCACCACACACCCGGTTTGGTTTTGAATTTTTGAGAAGGAAGTTATGCCACAGTTGAGAATTTTGTAGATAACCCAAACCTACCCTTTTGTGCACAAAATGATTAATTTTAAAAATGGGGGTACTGGGGTAGAGCTCAGTAGACAAGTGCTTGCGCAGTGGGCTGGGCACAATCCCTAGCCCTGCAGGAAAAAAAAGGAATGGATACACTTTAGAAATGCCTTCTAAGGGGCTGGGGATTTAGCTCAGCAGCAAAGCGCCCGCCTGGCAAGCGCAAGGTCATGAGTTCGGCTCCCGGTACCGGAAAAAAAAAAAACAACACCAACAAAAAAAATGCCTTTTAAAATAAAATACGGAGCCAGGCGTAATGATACATGCCTGTCAATACCACCCCTCAGTAGGCTGAGGCAGGAAGATCACTGCAAGTTTGATGCTGCCCTAGGTTATGTAGTGAACCTGGGTTACATATCAAGACCCTGTCTCAAAAAACTAAGAAAAAACCAAAACAAACAAAAAAAACCCCGACAGAATAAATAATAGAATAGAATATGCAGAATAGCTATGAATACATTTTTATTTTTATCTCACTTTTTGTACTCTTCTTCTTATTAGTATTATTGTTGTTATTATTTCTGAGAGAGGGTCTCACTGTGCAGTTCAAGCTGGTCTTGAGCTCACCATGTAGCTCAGGCTGACCTCAAATTCATGGTCCTCCTGCCTTTGCCTCTGAGTGCTGGCATGACAGGCGTGTACCACCATGCTGGGCTGTACTGTTTATTTTCAACGAGTCTAGCAATGAGCATTAGAGTTTTCAAGTCCTTTTGTGGACAACTTTAGTGATCTTATAAAAGCTCCAGGTGCTGATCTTGTGAAAGAACTGTATCAACGCTGGTTATCCCGCGCCTAATTCACCTCCCGCAGATGTGCTTTAGGCTGAACTGTTTTCCTTTCAGGCCATCGCCTGTGGCTGACTGTAGAGGCCACTGTCTTGCAGTGCCATGAGCCTCTTCGAAAGTGTGACTTCTTGTCTGTGTAGCCCAAGAACTGTTGTTCCGATGGGCTCTATGCGGAGAGTTAATGGCTAGACCTTGAGGCATTGAAAAGCTGTGCCTGATACTTCCACCGAAAACTGGCATGGTGGGGGTCAGAAGTGTCCTTGTGGTGTGCCCAGGCACTCGTGACTGAACAATCTGCTCATTGGTTGATCACATTTTAAAAGCTAAGGGGTCACTGCTGATATGGGGAGGAAGCCGCTAGCGTAGGAGAGTGGGGGGCAGTCTCTCTGGTCCGCCAGCCCGCCCCTCCACAGTTCAGGTCTGTTAAGTCACAGCCCTGTCCCTCCTCTGCCAGCTTTGCTCTCTCTCACTCACTGTTTCTCACCTGCCAGTGCTCACAGGAGAGCACATCCAGCCAACAATGGGCCGTTTGGTTGCTAGGAGACTTTTTTGTTTACATTGCCAGACTGACACGCCACCAAAGCCTTCCACACCGAACAGGAGGGTGACCTTGCTAGAGTCAGAGAGGACTCAGTCCAGAGCAAGGCCTTTTCAAGCTTCCACCAATGAGGGAGAACACGCAGCGTCTTTCTGTGCCTGGCTCTGGCATTGTTTGGCATGGTAGGGGGACCACAGTCTGAAACAATTAGCTATATAATCCAAAATAACTAGGTGAGGAGAGTTGGAGGGTTCCTGGCACGTAGAAATGGTAATAATTGCTCTAACTTGGTCATTGCACATTATATATGCATGTATTGAATGACAATATTGCACCCCGTAAATAAGTACAACTATTATATGTCACTTAAAAATAAATAAGCATTGCCTTGATTCAGTAACCAATAATTGTGGTGCACACCTGGAATCCCAGCACTTGGGAGGCCGAGACAGGAAGGTGGCAGTGAGTTTAATCCAGCCTGGGCTATGTGATGAGACCCTGTCTACACACACACACACACACACACACACACACACACACACAAACCCCTCCACAAAAAAGCCAATAATTATGCAATAATGACGCCATGGGCTCTAATTCTGTACCTTGGCCTTCGATAAAACTCCTGTAATCACTTCTGATTCTTCTTTAGCACAGCAGGGTAATACTGGGTAAAGCAACCTGTACAGTATTTCTTCTAAATGACTAGAAGAGCATGCAATGCCTAGCACGTAAGAAAATGATTAATGGTTGAAGAGATAGAGATGCTGGTTACGCTGATTATATTAGGACACGCTGTATCACAGGTATTGGTTTATCGCAATGTACCCCCCATGAAGGTGTACAAGAAAAGCATATGTAAGATGTATGGGAACTAAGCCCCTGCCCCGCCCAGAAAGTCCCTCAGCTCTTTGTTTTAATGTTTGGGCTTGGCTGATCACATGCTCTGAGCTGTAGCCCTTGTCCTGTTGCTTGGTTCATTACCGGAAAGGTTACCCCGGGGCACAGCGAGGCAGGCTAGAAAATATCCACTGGACGACAGTTTTCAATATGTTAAGCCAGCTAGAGCGAACAGAGCAGAAAGAATGTGCTGGTTGGAAGTCAGTAGCTTAGTTCTCCTAATTATTTGGTGGAAGAAAATGCCTGTTTGGTTGCCACAGAGACGGGTGAAACAAACCTGCTGGCAGGGCCGGCCAACAAAAAGGCATCGCTTTCTAATCTCAGTCTGCTCATCTAAACCACGGCAAATAAGCCAGGACACTATGGATTGCTGTTTGTTGGAGTTCGTCTGGATACTTCTGCTTTGAACCATAAATTATGTTGCAATCGCCCCGTGTGTGCTCTGCTTTCACAAATCATGATGAGTGATTTCTTGGCATTTGCTTTGCATTTTGCATGCACCTGAGCTCCCTCTTCTTGGACTGGGGCTTGGGCCAAAGAGAAAGGGGAAACAGAACCCCAGTGCCTGAATCTACAAGGAAAGAAAACCCACCCTCACTTCCTCCACCTCTGCCTCTCCTGTTCCCCGAAGTCCTGCCAAGCATGTGTTTTGCAGAAAAAAGATGTGACTTGTAGAAATGAAGGAAGAGAAGACATCAAAATGGACTGTTTGTTTGTTCCTTTCATATATCCACATTGTGTGCGTATGTGTTGTTCTTTGTTGTTTTGTTTGTTTGTTTGTTTTTTGTCTTTTTGAGACAGGGGCTCTCTATGTAGTTCAAGCTGGCCTTGAGCTTACTTTGTAGCCCAGGCTGGTCTCGAACTCACAACAATCCTCCTGCCTCAGCCTCCCTAGTGCTGGGATTATAGGCATGCGCCACCACGCCCGGCTCTTTGTTGTTTTTGAGACAGGGTCTCATTGTAGCCCAGGCTGGCCTCGAATTCACAGCGATCCTCCTGTCTCAGCCTCTCGAATACTGGGATTACAGGCACGGGCCACCATGGGCCTGGCGGTATGTGTGCTTTTATAATTTTTTTTCCGGGCCATACTGGGTGGGGTAACAGAGAAGGAAAAGAGAGGTACTTAACTTCTGGGAATAAATCAATCCATTTAAAAGCCTGAAGGTAAATGTTCTTTTCTATTTCCAGGAAGAGAAATCAAAATGTCATTAGCAGAGTCAGAAGTGTTGGATAATTTCCAAGAAAGAGAGACATCACTAATAATCACAGGCAGGGCTTACCGAGCTCATCCCAGGTGCTCGGATTCCTGAGCAAGAGTTTTCTCATTAAATCTTCCTAGAGCCCCGTGAAATAGGAAGCACTGTTATTGCTTCACAGGCAGGGGACTTGGTGCTTAGAGAGGTTGAGCAACTTTATCCTGGTCACCAAGTAGGCTCGGGCTCCAGCCCTGTAACTAAGGAGCTGTGGAGCGAAGGCTCAGGTTTCGGTTAAGCTGCCTGGCTTCCGGAAGAGTATTTTGATTGGCCTCAGTTTCCTCCTCTGTACAACAAAGGAGTTGTGTTTGGTGATCTCTAAGATCCCGGCCTACTCTGGCAACGCCCCAGATCAAATTCTGCCACCCGCAGTCCCCAGTTGCTGTCCATTAGTTTTACGGGGAGTTGTGGGAAGCTGGGGGTGGCACTAGGCTGGTAGGAACAGGCAGCTGGCGTAGTTGTCGAGTGAAGCCCAGGCAGCAAGATGGCTGGCTGACTTTGGTAGTGGGCTGGGGGCGAGGCCCGCTTGGAGCGCACCTCGTGGGGCTGTCATAGTCAAGCTCTTTGCTGTACCAGTGGCTTTCCCTCCTGGACGCATTCTTAGGGCCGGATGGATCCCCCTCATACTCCACAGGGGCGGCAGGTCGGCTTGCAACACCTGCACAGGTGAGCACCCAGAAGCCCTTGCAGGGTGGCCAGACCTACTCTTCCTGGTTCCCCTGAAGGACTCCAGCTGATACTTCCAGGAATTCTGCAGCAGCCCTGAAACATTTGTACATTCTTTTGACAGTACAGGAAGGCAGAAAGTCGCTGAAGAGCAAGACTTCCTCGAGTTTTATGAACTCACCTCAAATCTGATGGCTTTTAAAGATACCCAGTAGCTAGTTCCTCACGTACTGCAGATGATTGCGTGTCAACAGCTCAAGGCATCCGAAGCGCGGGTGAAATGGGAACCAACTTGCGCTGTCCGGGAACAGTAGCTATCACATTTCTCAGACTAACGTGTGTTTAGTTTGTCATATGTCATCACTGCGACCCTTAAGGGGATAAGTCGCCCTCATCCTGTGGCCCCAAGGCATCATTCTTAATTCCCTCTTCCCACACACATAGACGCTATTTACTGCAGCTCTCACTGTCAAAGATTTTTTTTTCTTTTTTTTTTTTGTCTTTTTGTGACTGATAATCTACTTAGAAGCTGTGCCGGCACGCAGCACTCAGGAGGCTGAGGCAGGAGGATCGTTGGAAATTCGAGACCAGCCTGGGTACAAAGTGAGCTCACGGCCAGCCTGAACTGCATAGCGAGACCCTGCCTCCAAAAAAAAAAAAAAATCTACTTAGAGGTGTTGCAAGGGCCTTTTCCGATATCTGGTGTGCACCCAGAGTCAGACAGAACGCTGAGAGGTAACAGAAATAAACCCCAAGGAGTAGATGTCCTAATGCTGCGGTTTCCCGGGGCTGCTAAGAGGTTGTGAGGCTGGCCAGAAAAAGTAGAGCCACTTATGGTAGAAGGCCAGGGGAGCGGGGAGAGAAGGGCGACCGGGCGGGAGTAGGGAAAGAGAGAGGGAGGTGGGTGGGGGAGAGGCCAGCGCCTCTCGGGGAGCAGGAGAGCAGGGCTCGCTCCAAGCGCCTCATTTGCTTAAGAGCCGGAGCGTGGCGGGTATTGCGTATGCAAATGAGGCTTCACGGGGCGGGGCCGGGAGGGGCGGGGCCGGGCGGAGCCGAGCGCGGCCGAGCGGAGCCGAGCGGAGCCGAGCGGAGCCGAGCGCGGCTCGGTCGGAGCCTCAGCATCGCCTCAGCGTCTCCTCTCCCGCCAAGCCGAGAGGATGGACGCCCCGCGCCGCGCGCCGTTGCCCGCGCGCTGAGGGACTCCCCGCGGGAGAGCGGCCGGGCCCCGGGACGGGCTGTGGAGATCGGGGACCGGCGCGGCGAGTCCGGTCCGCCGTGACCCACTCGTGGCTCGGGGCGCCGTGCGCGTCTCCTCTTCATCCCCGACGAGGAGGAGCTCCGTTGCCCTGGGACGCGCCGAAGAATGAACTTTTGGAAGCATTACTTCTTCGCGGTCACGGTGCTCAGCGTGCTGATTGTCGTGATCGTGTACCACGGCCACGTGGGCCTGCCAGGCGCCGCCCCGAGGCCGAACGCGTCCTGGGACGGCGGCCCGAGCCTCGACGCCTGCGCCTGGGCGCTGGGCGAGAAGCGGGCGTTCGCGTGGGGCCGCGCGCCGCGCTCGCCCCTGGGCCGCGTGCCCTGCCGCGACTACCTGCTGCGGGCGCACTACATCACCAGCCCGCTGTCGCGCGAGGAGGCCGCCTTCCCGCTGGCCTACGTCATGGTGGTCCATAAGGACTTCGACACCTTCGAGAGGCTCTTCCGGGCCGTCTACATGCCCCACAACGTGTACTGCGTGCACGCCGACGCCAAGGCGGCCCCCGAGTTCAGGAGCGCCGTGCGGCTGCTGCTCGGCTGCTTCCCCAACGCCTTCCTGGCCTCCCGCACCGAGCCCGTGGTCTACGCGGGGTTCTCCAGGCTCCAGGCCGACCTGCACTGCATGAGGGACCTGGTGGCCTCCGAGGTCCCCTGGAAGTACGTCATCAACACCTGCGGGCAGGATTTCCCACTCAAGACCAACAGGGAGATCGTCCAGTACCTGAAGGGATTTAAGGGGAAGAATATCACCCCCGGGGTGCTGCCCCCGGCGCATGCCGTCGGGCGGACCAAGTACGTGCACCGCGAGTACAGGGGAAGAGGCGGTTCGTACGTGAAAAATACTAACGTCCTGAAAACCTCACCTCCGCATCACCTGACCATCTACTTTGGCACAGCCTATGTGGCTCTTACCAGGGAGTTTGTCAACTTCGTCTTGGAGGACCAAAGAGCCATTGATCTCCTGCAGTGGTCCAAAGACACATATAGCCCGGATGAACATTTTTGGGTGACACTGAATAGAATTCCCGGTAGGTACCAATTTCTACTTTTTTTCTTTTTTTTTTTTTTTTTTTTTTTTTGAGACAGGTTCTCGCTTAGGCAGTTCAGGCTGACCTTGAGCTCACTATGTAGCCCAGGCTGGCCTCAAACTCGCAAAGATCCTCCTGCCTCAGCCTCGCCAGTGCTGGGATTACAGGCGTGTGCCACCACGCCCAGCTTCCATTTCTTTTTATGGGGTAGATTAAGTTTCCTAATATTTTATCCCGAGGAACTGACTCATTTGAAGTTATTTGGAACAAAATTTAAATGCTTAGAAAATGATGACTGTGGTTGCTTTTAGAGACAGTTTCACACCAGCTCTGTGGTTTTGTAAGTACATGAGATCTAAGAAATCCCAGCAGTAACTCTGGCAAAGCTCCCTCGGGTTGTGTGTCACACAGTTGCTGGCTTTGGGCTCTGTGTGCTGAGTACTTTTCCTAGTCCCTCCGACACAGCTAGAACACAATAAGATGGGCTTTTTAGTAAGCACCCTAGAGCGTGTGCGGTGAAATACTGCTGTTCCTCTCAGGAAGATGTTACACAGCTTTAGTGGGCTGTTTGGGATGGGGGCTGTTTTTAAAGAAGGCCCTTAGATTCCTCTTTAATGTTCACGAACTGCCACTGTGGTTTAAATGTCTCTTGGTCTAAGATCTGAACTGCATTTCGGGTCAACAAACGCAGCCTGGTATTTTCCTGCCTAGAGGAGGTGGTAACACTGAGTAGAAACTTAGAGAGAGCTTCAAGCTGGAGTCGATCCAAACAAAATTCTTAATTTTTAGGTCACAGATTTTTATGAGAAATTCATTTGCAGTCTCAGGTCTTAGGTACCCTAAGTCTTTGGCTGTGTGTGTGTGTGTGTGTGTTTATGATGATTTGGAAAGGGGTCCAAAGTATGCCAGGCAGCTGAAGGCAGAAGATAGCAGCATACACCCTCTTTGATTCAGAGCTGGGCTTGTTTTCAAAATTCTGTTTCGCACAACCTGCGGCCCTGCAGTGTTTTCCTGGGGACGCCTGGGGTACACTTGTTTCATTATCGCAGCAGCGGGGCTGTGGTTGTCAATCCCGTGTGACAGTGTCCCTCTGCTTGTCGTGCCCACTCCTGGCTCTTCTGTGTAGGAGCCTTATCACTGGCACCCTTTCATGTGTAGTTTGAAGCTACCTTTGTATCAAAGTGGACTCACAGCAGCAAGACATATTTAGATCCTAGATAACTCAGAATTCCTAAGAGCTGGAGTCACAGAAGTCTATTTAGGGGCAGAAGTAGACAGCCACATAGCCTGTTTATGTTCTAAGATGCTAAATTATCAGGTCCCAAAGACTTGTAGGAGAGGGAGTAAACCAGCATTTGTCATGGTACAGTGAGTGTTAGCCCTAGTATTTACAAGTATCTATTTTAAACATAGGTAACTATTCTCCACGTGGCATCTGATGTTTTCGTTGGTAGAGTTGTGCCTCCTGTTATTTTCTCCGCTGGGGTCCTGATTATGCTCGGAGCACATGAATGTGGTGAGGCTGAGACTGAAGCAATGTGCTGTGTTGTTCACACAGCTTGTCAGGGCTATGCTGAGGTCCGATCTTGGATTTGAGTGGCCTGGAGCTTGAGCTCTTTCCCTTGCAGTAGGAAAAGAAGGAATTATTTCTTCGTTCCTGTGTATCAGAAGCAGCTATCCGGCAGGATCCCCAAGGGAGAAAAGGGTGATTGGGAAAAATGGGGAGGGCTGTGGAAGGGAGCTTTCTACCTGGCCATTTGAGCTGGAAATAAGGTCAGCAGGGACACGTGTGCGTGTGAGTGCATGTGCATGTTGGAAGATAGCAGACGTGTGAGGCTTGTAGGCCGCTGTGCTAACCCAGGTCACTGGAGTCCCTTCTGGATTGACAGCCACCAGTCGCCTTGGGCTTCCGTGCAGGTTCCTGCATCCCTGCCTGGAACCAGTGCAGTCTGCCTCTTGCTTCTCCCAGCCAGGGGACATGGGACCAGTGCTTCAGTTACTGTATCAGAGGCCGGAGAGGGCAGCAGCCGGGCTGAGACACTCAAACTCCACGCTGCTGCAGTGCTCTGCTGCTGCGCTGTGTGGGCTTAGCTCTGTCCTTGCTCCTGCCTTGTCTTCCACAAGACTTTCAGGACCAAGACTCTGCTGGTCAAGAAATAGGCAAAAGCATCCGTTCCCCAAAGGAGTCTCTCTTCCTCCCTTCCCCACGCTCTTTTCCCTTCTCCTCTCTCTGTCTGCCACCCCCACCCCCACCCCTCCTTCTTTTTCCCACTTTCCCCTCCCTGGGTTCGGTCCCTAGCACCCAGTGTAAAAACTAAATGGAAAAGGCAGGTACTAACAAAGCTTAAAATTTTGAAAGTTTGCACTCCATCAGCTATTGATGTTACTGCTTCCTTGTATTCTTGCAGGGTTGGGTTTTTTTTATGCATTTGTGAACAACATCACTAATTAAACATCATTTCAAATGAACATTGACAGTAAACATTCATTTCAAGTGAATTTTTTATAGCTGCATCACAGAAATATTCAGGAAAACAGTCCTTATTTTAGGTGCCATGATGTCTGTGAGAAATAAAATTCTGCAAGCTGTGTTCTTTATTTAAATAGATTGTATGCAGACATGTGGAGAACTGTTTTATTCCAGAGCTCAACCCTGTGTTGTTTTGAAGCATTTTGAGATCCAGAGCCGAAGCATTTTGTAAGACCCTGTTCCAGGGGCCTTGTGCAGTGATGGTGACCGTTCAGTGATGGTGACCTGGGATGCATCAGCCCCTGCTTGAAGCTCTGTGGTGGCATCTCATTATTTTAAGGGACACTGCGGTGCAGTGTGTCATGACATCCATGACCTGGATGTCACCCGTCTCTCTCCTCTGGTCCTTTGTTATTTGATGACTCACACTTTATATATAAGTGGTTATCCTATAATCACTTTGCCCTACACATTTTGCCATTTGTAGATCTTTTTATTTGATGGTTCTGATGATATCTCCTCACAAAGGATGTCCTTCCTACTATGTCTAATCCCTCTTTATCCTTCATGTCCCACGGTGGATGACACCTCTTCCAGAAGCCATCTCTGTAATCCACTTCCCAGACATTTGGCGTCCAGCTCGAGTGCTCCTGAGGCCAGGGCAGCCAGCCCTGCATTATAATTACCTGTTATGAAGCATCTCCTCTCCCACCTCTGCAGGATCTGAGCTCCTTGGGGTAGGGAATGTGGCATGTGGCTCTGTGTTCCCCACGGGGCCATTTATCACTATGCCTGCATCTAATTCAGGAACATGCAGGGTGCTGGAAGGCTCAGGTCTGGGGTAGGACAGGAATCTGCCCCCGTGGTTATGAAGAGATGAGAGGAATGTGTACAAGTGCCCTGAACTTAGGGGGCAAGGGTAATACTGATAGTAAAGATGAGAGAAATAGCAGGTAAAATAGTGCTTGGAGAAATAATTTCACCATATCCACCAGACCTTGTACAATTAGCAAGCACCAGATGGAATGTGAAAAATTTTTTCTTAAGACAAGGCCTTGCGATGTAATTCATACTGAACTGAAACTCACCATGTAGCCCAGGCTAGCCTCGAACTCACAACCATCCTCCTGCCCTCAGCGTCCCAAGTGCTGGGGTACGGGTGTACACCACCACACCAGGCTGGAATGTGAATATTAATGGGACAGCATCCTTCTTTAGAAAGTCTGGCTCCCATGTAGCCACCCTGGGCCCTTCAGTGGAGGGCTGTAACATCTGAGGACATGAGAATGCCCCAGGCATGCAGGACATGTTGCCACCTCCAGTGAATTTTCCTTCCTTGTACCAGTTTGAATTTCTCCCACAGTTGTCCCTCAACCCACCTGGTGTGTGACTTAATTGGATTGAGACTGCTTCTTAGTTACTGGCTTAGGAAAAAAGAAAAAGCAAATAAACAAGAGTAGAAGAATATAAAAGGTTAAGCAAACACAACAATAGAGAGAAACTTAAAACAGCCCTGCAGGTGTAGCTCTCAGCAGATGTAAACACTGAGCTATTCAACAGGTATGCGTTCTCTATAGAAAGGTTACTAGGCCTTCACACCTGGGCGGGGCTGGATGCCGCCCAATCGCATTCAAAGTACACATTGTGCTCCCTGTACATCAGCCCAAATTTAGAGTTGTTTCTGGAACCACAAAGGATGTATTCACTCAGTCTGTTGTAACCAGGACTGAGAATTATAAACATCGACAGAATAGAAGAATCATATTGTAGTGTCACTGGGACACTCAAGTGTCCATGACGCTTGGTTTTTATGGTCAGAGGACAACCTGCACTGCTTGTTTTGTTGATGAGGAGATAAATTCTGATTGGAGGAGAAAATCCATAAAATATATTTGCATGGGTTTCTGTCCATTGAAGAGTTTCAACATGCCGTCATGGCTGGGCATGGTAGTACATGCCTGGAAGCTCAGCATTCTGGGAGGCTGAGGCAGGAGGAATGTTAAGTTCAAGCCCAGCTTTAGGAACTTAATGAAACTCTATCTCAAAATAAAATCTAAAAAAAAATGGCTGAGAATGTAGCTTAATGCAAAGGCCTGGAGTTCAATTCCTAGAATCCCCCACCCCGCACTAGAAGTATGTGGATATTTAATACAGTTATATATGTATAATTTTCATATAGCCAGGTAACATTACACACGCGCAACAAATGTGAACATGATTTTCACAATACTGTATTAGTGCTATGGACCTGTTTGGCTTGTTGGACCTCTTTGGTAGAGAGGCACTTCCCAAGCCAGCAATTCTGGTAGGATCATGGGGGAAGATGTATATCTGTGATGTGCCCTAGCTATTGGGTATCTGGACAAATGAGTCTGTGTCCCAAGATGCCGAGCTCCTGCTGGAGAAACCAGCGACAGATTCAAGGGTAGTTACATAACTAAACTGTGCTGGAGCTTCAGCCTGCCATATGTGGAGTCAGCCTCGAGGTTCCCAGCCCTTGTGTCCTGTGGAATAACTGAGATCACCTCCT